CTGCACCCTGCAGAGCCCTGCATGCAAAGTGAGGCCGCTGCTCTGCGGAGCAAACCTCCTTGTAGTAACCAAACTGGTGCTTGGCTTATTATTTGCTTATTATAACGGGTGCTCTGTTACCTGGGCACGGAGTTGTAAGTGTAAGAGACCTGAGGGACTGAAGCTAAATAATCCGGGAGACGACGCCGGCCGCCTCCTGCCAGCCGGGTCTGTCCTCAGCCTGGGAAATGTCAAATGGCAGAGGCTGCGAGACACAGACACAGCCGGGGCACCCCTTCAAGGGCTCAACAGATGCCTGAAACAGGACTGTGCAATTCCTGCCTCATTTGCGGACAGCCTCTGTGCCTTTTAAATCCTTATCTGGCCGGTGCTGTTACTATAAAACCGCGTAGGATTCCTCTTTGTTCCTGGTGTAGTCGTGTGCTGCCCCCCCACGAAGGATTCCTGGCGGGCTTGGGTTTGCAAAACTTCAAGAGCAGCTCGTTCTTCACAGGTAAATTCTAGGGGGGCCGCCCAACAAGCCGCCCATGTGCGCCTGCACTCACCCAAGCCGAACTCCTGACCCCACACGGAAGCATTTCCCTACAAAACCCGGGCGGTGCGCGGCGGGCCCCGCGCGGAGGAGCCTCTCCTGCCCGCCCCCCGTCCCCGGTCCCCGTCGGGGCGCGGCCCCCTGCCCTGCCCGCCGCACCTTGGCTGCGGTCCATGGCGCGGTAGAGCAGGAGGGCGCCGAGCAGCCCCGCCGCCTCCAGCAGCAGCACACCCTTCACGACTCGCCGCGCCATGGCCGGGGCTCGGCGCCTTCCCCCGCCCGCAGCGCTGCGCAGGCGCCGCCGCTGCCCCGCCCGCCTCACGGGCCCCGCACGGGCCGCCCGGCGGCGGGGGTGGCGAGATGCGCCCTGTGGAGAAAGCGTCTCAAGAAAGGGTGGGATTTGTTGTATATCCGGCCTTATCAACGAGAAAAGAGATTAATCCGTGAGGCAGGTAGCGGGTAACAGGCGAGCGCTAAGCGATGGCCACGTGTTAGAAATACAAATGACCTGTTGGGCCCGACGTGCTTCAGTCCCCTCAGACCTCGGGAGAGGTTAATAATGCCCGGCGAGAAGGATGGACTGCTGAGTGGACACAAAGAATGCAGCGTTTATGGGCCGCAAAGACATCCGGCAGAACCCCCCAAGAGAAGGAAGAAACCGATAAAGCAAACTCAGCTCTGACTGGGTAAAAGGTAGTTTTTGGCAGCGGTGGATTGTGACCACCGACTCATGACCACGGACCTAAGAAAACCACCGACCCAAAAGAAGAGAAAGACTGAGCACGTTGACTGCTTAGCATGAGAAGCGAGGCCGTCATTAACTAATAGAAGATAGAAGACTAATTAATAAGGGAACTATGTCCATTGCAGTGAACACTAATTTCTTAATTTGCTAAATTGTATAAACAATAAAAACTTTTGATAGTTGGTGTGCTTGATTTGTGGAATACCTTGGAGCACTCAGGTTGTGCAACTCTGAAATAAACAATCAGTGTGTCTCCCGTGTCAGGAGAATTAATCCACGATACCAGAGGTTTATGTCCAAAGAGGAGACAGAGGAGTTCTGTAACTTCATTTGAATAAAGGCCATGGGCATTTCCCATAGGATCTCTCACATTGTTGGGGGATGCAGCCCCCTTCTTATCCTAAGTTCCCGACCGCATCTCCCTCTTCCTTTTCCCCGTTGGCTGAGGTACTTGGAAGGTACAGACTTCCCAAATTGCCTGCTCTATGCTCCCCTCTAATATGCACCTCCCCTTTCATTGTATACAAGAAAGAAAAACCTATTCATAATTCCATTAAGTCTTTTTTCTTCTCTAGGATGAGGAATTTAACGCGTCCTTGGCTGGGCAACAATCTGTGTTGATAGTCACATTTTCTAGAACTAAGAGTTTCTTCTGTGACTTCCCTATCTAAAGTTCCTAGCCCTATCTACAAGCAGATTCACATGGTCTGTTTGTAAAGACACATTCATTTTATTCCTTTCATTTTCATTGTCTTCTATTACTCATATTACTCTTAACTCATATTATGGGACTGACTTAATTGCCAAAATAAAAGCTCTTCAGATTTTCCTTAATAGGGACTTTATTTTCTTTGTATGATGCTTCCCCTGCCCCTCTTCTACTAGAGTTTTGTAAGATTAGATACAATATTTTTGCTGCTCATTCTTACAGGATGATTAATTTTCCAATTCTTTTTTCCCTGGTGGCTGGGTTTGCAAGTATTTTGCAAGTACTTAGTTGCTTGTACTCAGTGGGATTTTTTAGTAAAGTAATTCCTGCTCTGAGGATTTTAAGTGAACAGATCAACCCAAGCAGCAGAAGCTCAGGGTTGTTGGAGAAAACAAGGATCCAGGAAAGGAATTAATTGCATTATCATTGTAGCAGTTCTGGCTCTAACCAGAGAGGGTCCTAGGTCAGTGTCTCATTTAGCATATAGAATTTGCATTGGTTGGCAAGTTCTGATCTGGAAAGAAACTGTAGTGTATTTAGGGGCTTAATAAATATGCCTGTAGTGTTTAGAGTGAATTTATAGCAGCTGTAAGACAGAACACTGAACTTTTAAGAGGCCAAATAAAAAAGGAAGGAGCAGGCACAAAACGTGAAATATGCATCTTTGTTTTAAGGAGCCCATCATCCCTTTGAGTTTGGGTCCAGACTCCTGCTGGACCCTACACAGAGGTTATTTGTCATATCTTGGCACTGACTTTTATTTCTCATAGAGTTTGGAAGAGTTCAGGTGTGGAGACATGATATGGATTGTCTCTGAGGTTTAGTAACTCAGTAAACCTCTCCTGCTCAGGCCAAAGGATGAGTAGATAAAAAAAAAGATGCCTCACACTGCTCAGGTCGGACAGTCTGTGGTAGCTCAGCAGGGGAATATTTTACTAAAGACCACTGCCAGTTGTTCAGTAGGAAAGGAGGTACACAGCTCCCCATGGTTTGCTGAGGAATGCAGCACCTTGTTACCTGGTGGGCACTGTGGTGGAAAAGCCTGTATGGAAGGTTTCACAGAAGAAATGGGAAAGCAGGAGGGAGAGAAAATTATGCATTTGTGCAGTGCAGCATGGTTTCAATCTGCAAGTAAATATCTTGGAATTTTTTCCCATTTGGATATTTACTTCTACATTTTAAAACCGTGCTAAATAGATTCCTTGCCCTAATTTCCTATGGCTTGCAAATCATGGTGAAAAAAGGCAAGACTACAGGAAAAAAGAATGAAACGGAAAGATTACCTGCCTCAGTCTGAAACTAGAAATTGCTGGGCTCCCTCTTGCCCCTTGATGTGACACTTGGACCCACCAAGCCATAGTGTCATCAGGCAAAAATAAAAATGTCTCTGCAGGTCTCTCTCTTGAGCTGAGGGGCCCTGATGTCTGGCTTCCTATTCCAGCTTCTTGAGTGTTTTCCATGCTGGACTCAAACTCTTTGGCATTTGCCATGCTTAGATGGCCATGAACATGTGTGATGAAAGAACTTGCATTGAGGCCATTCAAAAGCTTTGTTTCTTAAAGCTGTAATGTTATCCTCATTCCTTTTACTTGTTAAGTATTATGAAGGTTAAATTACAGCAAAGTAACTACTAAAGGTTTTCCCCAACTCAGGTGTATGTAGTAGAGAGAGAAACTGATGGAAAGGACTATTGGTGAAGTAGGGATTAAAGACAGTGGCTCTTCAGGAATCAGTAGTTCCCAGGAATGACTCATGCAGTTGAGAAGCCATTAGGGAATTTAGAGATTGGGAATTTTAGGCTTATCAATTGTAGCTTTTTGTTAAAATGAAATTTGCTTTTGTGCCCATCTTGGAAGATGTGAGCATGGATTTGTAAGTAAATGGGAGAGTGATATAAATGATATCCATCATACAATGTCTTATATAAAATCATGATATTAGGTGGTATATAAATGATGTGTTATAAGACATTCTATAATGTGTACATGTTATATATACATTACTTTATAAATGACATGTATCAGCTGCTTCCACCCAAGCATCTGAGGACCTTTATGTAAGATAGGGTGGAATTTATTCCTTTCTGGGAATAACTTTCCACAAAAAGCATAAGCTGTTTGCACTGTGTTTTCCATGTTAGTGCATCTGGCAGCTGGATTCACATGGGACTCAGTGCAGGAGGCAGGGGCAGCTCCACAGCTCCATCGCAGGGGCCCTGTGGGAAGCCTTCCAAGCACTTCCCCACAGGGACACGGGGAGGGTGCTGTGGGTCAAGGTGAACACACTGTTCCCTTGCTCTGTCCTGCCAGCAATTGGCAGAGCAGCAGTGGGGCAAATGGGAGCCGTGGAAGCCTTGGGGAAGCTGGCTCTGTGGTGCAGCTCCAGGAACTGGCCACAGGCTCATGCTGGAATGGGATGCAGGATGGGGGAGGCTTTGCTGCAAGATGCCTTCCAAAGGGTAAGGGGTGGGGAGGGATGCAGGTGTCTGGGGGAACAGCTCTTCTAGCACTTGTTCTGGCATGTGCTTTATGGACACAGCTACAGGCACAGCTGAGGACATGCACGGGCAGTGACATTGAATAAGTGACTCCGCTTTGCACTTGACCCAGGACAGCAGAGAGAGGCAAACATTTCCCTCAGCAGAATGAGTGGAGTTTCTTGCTAATTCCTGCCTTCTTCTACCCAGAATCTTCCCATGTGTCTCACTGTAAAAGACAGGAAAGCTACTGTCATTTTCTATCACTGACTATGTTATGAATATATTAAAAAAATATTAAGTGCATTGTTGAGTCAGTTCTGCCTCCAGTTATTAGTGAGGCAGGAAGGTCACAGTTATAAAGCTGGTGAGGATCTCATTAATGGAAAACATTACTTTGTTTATAATAATTTGAGTGCTTTGGTGTTGTCATTTGATGACTATTATATTGAATTAAACTTTGCAATGAGAAGGCTCTGACATCTCATTTTAACCTCTGACATGTTTTATTTTGTTCTCTGGGTTTCTTGGTGCGGGTATGAAATGGCTTATCTAAATTTTAAATGATTTGATATTTACAACTGTTCAGAGTATACATGTAAGCACAGAACCAATTTTATTAAATGTGGAGATCCAGGTAAATACCAGGTTAGTGAAACAAAATTGTCAAACCATTTAAAAATGTATTTTTCTCTCTCCTGCATTTCTGCACAAAAGTTATTAAAATGAAGTCATGCAGCAAGTAAGGCTATTTCTCCTGAGATGGGAAAGAAGATGATTTTGGATGACTAATGGCTTCTGATTAGGGGCTCTTTCACACAGGCAGCTCTCACAAATCATTTCTGCACCTGTGTAAAAAACATCATCTCTCTTCTGGTTCTGTTTAATTCTGAAGAGGATAAAACAGATTCCATTTCTAAGGACTTTGATAACATATCTGAATTGCCTCCCCAAGTCTATTTTCAAGGAAAAAGGTACAGTGAGTTTTTTTTATTTTTCCAAGAACAAGCCTCATCTCTCTGACAGTATCAGCATGCAAGACTAATTGTGGGGCCATGTCCTTTATTTGCACCCAAGCAGGTGGCACTGAGGAAAAACAACTTGGAGACAATGGGAGTCTCATGATACCTGGGCTCCCCGTACAATTTACAGTAGCCTCAGGGGTGTTGGAGTGGACATAAGCGAGGACATAAAAAGAGCTGTTGCAGTGCTCTGAAATTGCTGGAATGTCGTGATTTCCTTTTTTATGCAACTCTTTTCTATGCACGGTCATGACGGGAATGAGTGTGGCAGCAGTGTCTCTGGGACATTGGCTGGCTCTTTGCAAAGAATCATGATGCTAAAACTTCAGCATTTCTGGTATTTGGTCACTGAACAGTGGCAGATGCTTAGCACTTCCAAGATGCACTGCAGAGGAAATGAATAATTGGTTAAGGGATAGAGATTTTTTTCCATGTATTACTGTTATTTTTTCCTGCATGAGACAGGAAAAAAATAAAATGTATCTGGCAAAAATATTTAACGTGTGTAATGTGTTTTCAGAAGTGTTTATGCTTCTCTGAGGATTACAGTCTCTTAAGGATTTCAGGAAAATTATTGAAAAATGGGAGATGGTTGTAACAGCTGTGATTTTCTAAAGGAGCTTTTCCTGACAGGAGGTTGGCAAATGGTTCCTTACTATTTCTCAGGTCCCAGGTAGTTATGGGATAGTATTCAATGACAATATTACAGTTTTTCCAGTTACTTCTTTCTACAGTTGCTTCATGATAGAAATAAACCTTAGAAGCGGTGATAAGGTCCTTATTCTGATTGCATTATAATTTTGTTCTGCATGTCTTTATTAATAAAATATGTTATAACTCCCAGTATGTTGCTGGTTGCAAAATGTTTGGTTATACTCCCACTTTGGTTGCCAGGGTAAATGAGTGATCTAAAATTGCTGACCTCTTTCTCCCACTCCAGATAGTAGTGCTGTTTTGAAACCCTAAAGATACAGCTGTTTCATTTTTCCATTTCCATAACAATGTGCCAAGCGTCCCCAGTTACAGCTCTGGGGATGATTACTTTTCCGGATTAATGACAGATCTGCATTTTTACAGATACTGATTATAGTTGAAAAAGCAACAGAAAAAAATATTTTGAAAACAACTGAATGGGGCCAGTGGGAAAACAGCTGTGCCATAATTAATTTCCTGATGGCCGTACGTCACAATAAAGGAGGCAGCTGAGTGCCAGAAGGGGAGAATGTCCAAAAGATGCTTTGCTTCTGGGTATTTGCTCTTCCAGCAAAGGGTGAGGGAATTGCATGGCAGCTGGACAATGGCATTGGGTCAACATTCTGCCACTTAGTGCTGGAGGAAATGCTGCAGGTTCAGTGTTAATGAAATGGCAGTTAGTTTCTTTCATGTTTCTCCACATTAGGCCAAATACCTCATTAGCAACCTGTATTTTAGATTTAGGCTAATGCCAGGCTTTATCTGTTGAAAGATGTTTACATGACAGTGTGGTCACAGAAGGGAAGCACATAGTGAGATTCATGTTTATGTGTTTACCTACAAAAGTTCAGAGCAAACCTCTGTCATTCTCTTGTACAGACAGTACCACGGAAAGTACAGGGTGTTCTCTTTGTCTGCATTGATGTAACCAAAAGGCAACAGAAGGCAATTCTTCAGTTGTACAGAAAAAAAAGTACTTACTTAGAAAGAAAGGTCACATCAATGCTTTTTTCTCTTCTTTACAGTCAGCTGGGGATCCTGTTTTGATCCTGCAGTCACCTGGAGCAATCACATTGAAGATAAGAATGCTGTAATCATAATATATGAAGATCTGAAAGGGGTAAAGCAGATGCTGTTTACTGACAGCCAAAACACATCTGAGCCCATTCCTTGAAATCTGCTGAAATTAGGAGGAAATGGCAAAGGTTTCAAAAAGAGCAAAATCAAGTTGAGTTTAGCCACAAGTTGAGTCTGGCTATACAGAAGCAGAGCTCCAGAAAACAGAAATGCAACACAGAAAATAGTGAATGAAATTAGTAGATGATGGCAAGGCACATCCCAAGTGGGGAGCTCCCTTCTTTAGAGGAAGCGTATTGCACATCTCGCTTTCACTGTACTGCTTTTAGAACCTGACTGCCAGTGTGAAGCAGACAGCTGCATTCTTTGAATTCTCACCAACAGCTGAGCAGATCCAGGCCATTGCAGGAAGGCACACTTTCCAGCCAGTGACTGTTAAAGCTCAGGAGACTCATGGTGCTGTTGGCTTGATTCTTTTCCATAAGGGTAAATTTGTGTTTTGCCAGAGCAGTGAATGGTAGGTAGCTCTTTGTCTTGGGCAGACAGGAATTTGGATCGATAGCTGGTTAATATTTATGTATAATTTTCAAGGCTGGGTGTTGTTTAAGAAACACGGATTGTGCTTCAGGAATCTCAATTGATTTCACCCCAAGAGCCAGCACCATTCAGTAAAGCCCCATGTAGTATGATTAGCAGAGGTGCCCTACAATTAGCACATCCCCCGTTGTGGTATGCACTAAGCACCAAATAAAACAAAGAAGAATTTTATCTTGGCTTCTGTGATTCCTGTGAATAGCCAGTAGACTGAGTGCCTCCACAGATCTCTTGGGTTTTCTAAATAACCCTCGGGGTTGCCTATGGAACACAGTCAACTCACAGAATCCAGATGCTCCACAGGTTGAGCTGTGTTTTTTGGATTAGGCTAGAATCTCATACAAACCCCAACTGTGGGCTCTCCAAAATCTAGATTAAAGGTAAACTGCAGTTTAGAGCAGTGTCTTGTTGCAACAAACAAAGCTCTTGCAGTTAGAAGCCACACTTTTGAGTTTTCTGGGTTGGTGTCACAGCTGCTGGTCATCTTTTCTAGTCTTCTGCAGCTATACATGGTATATGCCAGAGCGAGGAAGGCAGACCAGCAACTTCCCATGGTTGCTTTATGTTCACATTCTATTGAAGACATCAAACATAAAGCAAATGTGTGTATTCTTCTGTCAGATATCTTTTCTTACAGGAAAAAAACATATTCTGAAATATGATAAGAGAGAAAAGTTAGTCTTTGGTTTTAAATGATACTCTTTGGTTGTTAGACTCAAGGGTAATAATTTCCTCTTCTTTATATTCAATATTTTCTTTATATTCTTGGAGACTGGAAGAATGTTTTTGCTGAAGCTCAGAGCCAGAAATCGGCTGCCAAATTCACGGTGTGATTATAAATAGCTAAGCTGGAAGTGAAGTTTAGATATGATGTGTATTGCAAGGTCTGTGAACATCC